CAAGTGTTGCTAGTTTAGGCTCGAGGTGATTTTCGGATCTGTCTTCCCAGTTTATTCAACTTGTAGTCATATCATTCAGCTATGAGCTGATTTCCTTTTCGCACCTTTATGCACTTCGTAAAATCTTTATCGTTCCGAAAAAAAAAACCTAACAAGGTTCGACAAAAAAAGTGATTTAAACGGGCCAAAAAATATAAAATTCGACCTGTGTTTCTATTACAAATGAGTTTGTTTTTGGTTGGTTTAATTTATTAGATAACGTGAGTTAAAATTAAAAAGGCATGTGTTTCGATTACAAGCAGTGTTCTAAAAGTCGCTAGGCGCTCATTTTGCTCTATTTTTTCCACACCTCTGTGTAGTAGAATCCTATTTTGATACAAGGGCAATTAAAAAATGAAATCGAAATAAATAAAAAATAAAAGTCGTTAGGCGCTCGACCAGCGCCTAGAGCGCCTAGTCGGGGCCTAGAAATTAATATTAAATACTTTATTTTTTATTTATTTTAACTACCTACAAAATAAAATTATTTCAACTTATAACAAATCGACACACCTAAGTCCAAATAATAAAATATCCAAATAATAAAATTAATACTCTCTCTTATTTTTATTATTTGTCACTTTGGCTTGATTCATCATTGATTAAATAAATGTTGTTTTGGCTATTTTGTTCATATTTTTCCATTTTAACCCTCCATTAATACACAACGTCTCTTCATATCCCATCTCCATCATTTTCCATAACATCCATTAAATAGGGTTAATATTGACAAGAAAAAAATTCTTAATTAGTGTGTTGATTCTCAAAACGACAAATAATAAAAGTAGGAGGGAGTATATTTTAAAGAAAACATGAAAACAAAATAATGTAATTTAGTATTTAAAAAAAATAAAAAAAATGAAAAATTTCCGCCGAGCCCGCCTAGGAACGCCTAGGTCCGCCTGTGCCCGCCTAGACACCGTGATGAAGATCGCGTGTCCCGACTGCCGATAAGCCGCTTGTCCGCGCCTTGAATCACCGATAGGTGCTTCTCGAGCCACAACCGCGCCTCTTGAAACGAATAAAATTGCAATAGTATTTGGTGAAAAACTAAGGCAAAGTGTTTGAACAAAAGTTCTGGATTTTATAATAATTCTTGGATGATGAAAAAATAACATATGGAAGGGGCCTTTATATAAGCACAAAATATGTCTAATCCTAATCTACCTAGGGAACTAATAAAGCAATAAAATATTAAGTATCCTAAACAATCTAGATATCGTAATGCAATAAGGAAACTAAATAACTAAGAGATCTTGAGCCTTGTCTTGCACTCCAAGCATAAGACTCCCCACCCTCCTCTCTCTCTCTCTCTCTCTTGCGCCGCTTAGGACCCGCCGCCTTGCGTCTCGCCTTAGTCCTATAGGACTAAGGCTGCGCCGTCTTCGCCCGCCTGTCCTCTTGCCTCGAGGATTAAGGCCTCGCGCCCTGCGTGCGCCATTCCTATTCCTTGAAGGTTCATGCCTCGGGCCCGCATCCACTTTGCCTATTCCTACTAGGAATATGCTCCCGGTTATGTTGCATGTTCTTTCTAGGATTACTCGCATCACCGATCTTTCACGCATGTTCCGGCACTCAGCTGCTTTTCCTAGTCCTGCAAGGTCTAGTATTCGCGCCTTGCCTATTCCTATGAGGACTAGGCTTGCTCCCATGGTCTTGCCTCTCCCTGCGTGTGCGCACGCGACCGCACCCTTCGCCCGCGT